ATTCCATTAAGATATCTTTAATCATTTCTAAGATACAAGGTTTCAAAGCTTAATATAATAATTAGACAATTTTGCTTTATACACACACACACACACACACACACACACACACACACACACACACACACACATATATATATATATATATATATATATATATATATATATATATTGAAAAAGAGATATGAAGTGATAAACGGAAAGATATAAAGAAGTTAAGTGGCACTGGCTTGCTTGCTTGCTTGGCTGAAAGAGCCGAGATAATTTTAGCCAGCCTCGCTGTGAGATTCTTTCACGCAGCCTTCTAACTCCCGGTTGAATGGTTCCCTCTGATTGGATAAAGATTTCAGAAGATTAACATAAACACAGATATCAGAAGCTTAATTTTGACAAACAATTCTTTCTTTTTTTTTTTCCTTTTTTTTTTTTTCATTCAGTATAATTCTGCCGCTTCAACATTGGCAATAAGTATTGCTTTAATCTGCTTTTCTCAAACCCAAAAATGAACGGGGGGAAAAAATTAAAATGTTTTCTTTTCAGACAGGCTTTTGTTTGGATTTTTAAAATGACATTTTTGTTTTGTTTGTTTTAAAAGAAAAAGAGGAGAAAAATTACTTTTATGTCCCTATTTTTTCTGTTTTTCAACTGGATTAACAAACTTATTATATCCTACTTAATGTATAATGATCTATAATGAATTAATAATAATAATAATAATAATAAGAGTAATAATTGTAGTAGTAGTAATAATAATAGTAGGAGTAGCAATAATAATAGTAGGAGTAATAATAGTAGTAGTAGTAATAGTAGTAGTAGTAGTAATACTACTAGTAGTATAATAATAATGGTAGTAATAATAATAGTAGTAGTAATAATAGTAATAGTAGTTTTAGTAATAACAGTAGTAGTAGTAATAATAACAATAGTAGTAGTAGTAATAATTTAGTAGTAGTAATAATAATAGTAGTAGTAGCAATAGTAGTAGTAATAATAATAGTAGGAGTAGCAATAATAATAGTAGGAGTAATAATAGTATTAGTAGTAGTAATAATGATGTTAGTAGAAGTAGTAGTAGTAGTAATAATAGTAGGAGTAGTAATACTACTACTAGTAGTAATAATAAAGGTAGTAATAATAATAGTTGTAGTAATAATAGTAATAGTAGTTTTAGTAATAACAGTAGTAGTAATAATAATAACAATAGTAGTAGTAGTAATAATTTAGTAGTAGTAATAATTTAGTAGTAGTAATAATAATAGTAGTAGTAGTAATAATAATAGTAGTAATAATATTTATACTGGTAGTAGTTATAATAAAAATAATAATAACAGTAGTGGCAGTAATAATAATAGCAGTAGTAGTAATAATAATAGTAGTAGTAGTCGTAATAATAATAATAATAATAAATAATTTGTTTAATTTGTTTGATTCGTCTTCGGTTTATCACCTCTTTACGGGTTATTTAAAGCCAGAAAATATTTTTAGAATGTAAGAATTTTTTTTTAGACAATAATGCTTCTGTGATACAATTCTTACTAATTAACCTATAGTTTGGGGAGAAGAGATGGATTCCTACCTAATCAGATTTGATAAGAAATTATGTCGATATAAAGCGGGGAAACATTTCTATATTACAATCTATATATAAACTGAGCCTTCACATTCTTATGTAGCTAATAAGTATTTCATTTTCTACGGCTTTGCAGGTTATTTAAAGGCAGAAAATCCTTTTTTAGGTTTTAAGATTTTTTTTTCTTTTTAGGTAATAATAGTTTTAGGGGTGGAATTCATGGATTCATACCTTTCCAAAGGGTATTTACGCGTAAGTGAATATAACAAACCCAACTGGAATTACAACTCGTCTCTCTGATTACCAATTCCACCACAAATTGTACATATGTGAACTAGTTGAGATTTCATAGAGACTTTTGACATTACGATGACTGTTGTAAGAATGCTAAGTAAGAATGTGTTATTATGGTGTAAAGAAAAGTGTCGTATTTTCAGTAAGTGTTGCTATCTAAGATAGTTATTGAGCTTTTACATTCAATAAGTCAAAAACCAAACTGGTTACATTCCCCCATCGGCGAACTACCAGCAATCACGATGAATATGTTCCTTCAAGGAGGTTCCATACCTTGAGCGCCTATTGAGGCTTAAACTTAAATCAGACCTCAAGTGGAACACGTAGATACCATTTATTGCCAAAGATGTTGGGAAAAAAAAGTTTGGTTCCTTGTAACGCTCCAGTAAGTACCTGATTCTTTCTTCTATCCTGATTCTTCCTTCTATCCTGATTCTTTCTTCTAATCCATCTTCGACCCGAACTGTCTCTTGTAGAGATCTACAAGAGACAGTTCGCGTCGAAGATGGATTACCGTTACCATACATGGGCAGGAGTTGTCGAATCTTCACTTTTCGGTCTTGATGGAGTCCAAACGCATCTCTGCGTTCCTGTGGGTGAGTGATTATTTTCCAGCCTACAAGCCCTTTCCTCACAGTCGAAACGTTGCAAATCTTTCGCTGCTCTATGACTATTTCCATGGAAAGGGTTCAGATGGACTAGGTTCCTTAGTTCCACCTTCACGGTTAAGACCCGCCATACCACGTACATTGTAGCGAACCACCTTCATTGCCTTCATATTCCATTCAAGCAGCTTCTTTCCATGAACCTCTGCTTTGCAGAACCGACTCCCAAGGGGATACTTCCCCGATCACTATAATCCTAACTTTTTAAATCTATGGTTAACAGTTATCTTCTCCACATATCCGCATAAACTGTTCCTCTTACTCTTTAAAACTCTACCTCGAGTAGCTCTCGAGCTTTGCTCAGGATGAACATCATTGTGAGAAAAAAGTGTCAAGATGGTACGTTCACAAGGAGCGTAAGAGGGGGGAAGTGAAAATTATGAAGATGTGGGGGATAGATAAGCGATTGACCCTAGACTTGAAGAGGTTAAGATTGCAATGTTCGAGAAGCATCCATGCGGGAGTCTGTTAACGTTTAAGCATATATCCGAATGAAGCTTCTTACCAATGGAATACAGAGAGGAGAGAATGAGGGTGATTCAACACCGTGGACATAGCAAGGATGGTCTTGGCTGTAGGAATCTTAACTGGTGGCGCCAAATAATGGAGACCGTCTGATTATTTGTCTTGGAGATATGTGCGAAAGGATCTGTAGGGTGAAAGGCCGCGTAAGTAACCTTGAACTTTGTAAAAGGCGGGAAAGTAAGGATTGAGCCGACAAGACCCAAAGAGTTGCGAGTTCAATACACGGTTAAGGCAGTAGAGAACTTGGAGAGGGGAATTAACAGGAGATAACTGATAACTGACATCCATTAGACATGGCACGTGGAACTAGAACAGTCTACCCCAGTGAGCGAAATAAAGGGTTCAGTTTGACATTCCAACCACTTGAAGAAGGCCGGAGCGTACAACGGCCGAAACGTTGTAATAAATATGGCGACAAAGATGAGGACAATAGTCCAAATAATGTAAATAGAATTGGCTTTATTGTTTTTCTTGGCCAACTGTCTACCGAAGAAACTGATGGCAGCCTAAAACGGAAATTCTTCTACGAAGTCAATCAGGAATTGAAGAGAGACGGGATCGCCCAACTATGCATCAGGCATGGCACATAAGGATGGATATTAATCTGTACTAATACAGGGGTGATCAATTTAGTACTTAATGACAATAGGAAACCGACCACCAACTTTATGTCCAGTAGCATCTTATACAAATAAGTCAGTCGTGAATCGAAAAAAGAGTACTTAAGGAAGGAATTAATGATCGGCTAAATTGTGTTCGGACTTCGGAACTCACTGTGTTCTCTCTCAGTCAGCTATGTACCATGCGTGATACACTCTTAAGCAATCATGTATCTTTCGATACATGACTGACGAGGCAGATTTTTTCCTGCTGTAGGTTGCCATTTCTTGTGGACCAGTTGCCGTTCAATGCTATAGAACTCGGTCTTGCTTGCTATTTACCCATAGATGGGGGGGTTCATAGCTTTCCCATGATTATTAGCACGTAAGTGAATGTAATGGATTCGACTGGAATTCGAACACGGCTCTCCGATTCCTCAATCAGAGCCGCTATCCATTACTCCCCTGTGCCTCCCTGTGTTCTCTCTATTGCTACTAAAACACGCCAGCCGACCGATATTACAGTCTTCCTCGTACATGTACTCCTTTAAAAAAAGGAGGAACATGTCTTCTCGGTTCAGGACGTATTCCTGTCCTTAGTAGCTCTTAGTAAATGTTCTCGTTTTTCTATCTTTCTGTCACGTGTGCGACAAAAGAAATAAAAGGGAATGACAGGAGACCAATTAAGTTCAAAATAACTTTAGTCGGGCAATGCTGGTTTTTTAAGGTATAGTTTCCCCGTCAGATCAGCGAATGGAAGTAAACGGATTGCGTTGAAGCAGGTTTCGGCAACAACTAACATCCTCCTGTAGAACCACATCTGCTGCTTCATGTCTCATCTTCATCTTTGAGGACATTGTCCAGCGTTCGCTGCCATATAGGAGGACTGCGATTGCGTAACAGCGAAGGGCTCCTTTCTTTGTTCCAACGAAATTTTCCTGTTTCTTAATACTTTGCTTAGCTTTTAGAAGGCGTCTTTCGCTATCCCATCGAGATTTCGGATTTCGGTGTCGCACTTTATGTCCTTTGTTAAAACACTTCCCAGAATTTTAAATGCTATGTCAATCATTATCTTCTATTTTCTTAATGCCTTTTCTTTATTATTGCATCTTCTTAATAATTTATTTCCTCATATTATCCCACACACAGTAATCCCTTTGCGTCTTAGTGGCTTTATTTCCTATCTTGGAATGAAATGGTTAAGAAAAATAAAATTTTGTACTTGCTTGATTTTGGTATCTCAATCTGGTATTTTGCATGCTCCCACGAATAAGCTACTTTAACTTAAGTTGTAACTTATGTTAACAGTAACTTAAGTTGTTGTCTTCGAGTCAATTCATTTTGTAAATGATTCCATTTGATGCCATTCTTTATTACTGCAAGAACTCGTGATATTTCGTCTAGTTACAGATTTCTGTTACGAAATTGAAAGCAAAAAAAATGTTTTTTTTCACTCAATGTGACCCAGACATTTGTTTCGCTGTGACATTGTTTATCACAGCATAAAGTCAGTTTTCCTAGTCGCTATACTGTTAAAAAGGACATGAAAATCTATACACAGTTTCTCAATAACATTTTGTTTACAAAAAGAAAAAAGAAAAAGGAAAAAAAGCAAATACATTATGATTATTTTTTATTTAATGGAACTATTTCTTCTTGTCTAGGCCGGAATATTATTTTTCCCTAATATCGCATCTAGTTAAGAGAGCGCGTTACGATTTGGTTTGTATTCAAATGTCACTTTGTACCCGATCTTTTCAGCCATATGTATTGGGATGTACAAAGATGCCTTCCAAAAGCTAAGCAAAACATTAAGAGACAGGAAAAAATCGTTAGAAACAAAGAAAAGAATACTGAAGTATTACGTGTTATCTGTTCTTCTGTATCGCATATGTATTGGGATGTCCAAAGATGAATTCCAAAAGCTAAGCAAAACATTAAGAGACAGGAAAAAAATCGTTAGGAACACTGAAAAGAGTCCTGAACCGTTATGTGATATCTTTTTTCCTGCATGACATCGAAATCTGGAGAACACAATGAGGTGGCCGGGTGGGTGGGTGTGGAGGCTTTGAAAATCTGATATTCACAGTACAAATTGTGGGACAGAGGAAAGCAACGCGTGACATATTTGATGAGGAAATGGGTGGCAGAAAAGGTTTGTGAGGAATAACAAAAACAGAACTTATTAAGAGCTACGAGGGAAAGGAAGATGTGGTGGGCTATGATCGCCTACGTCCTAAAGGAACACGGCACATAAAAGAAGTAACTCCATCGGACAATGATCCTAATGAGCCATAAAACAAATCGTATCATTCGAATTCTGAAGAATACAGCGCGCAGAAGAATTAGAACGGAACTAGGACAGGAACAGTACGGGTTCGTCAAAGACACTTGAACAAGAAATGCGATATTTATGCTCAGAGTGATATCAGAAAGAGCAGTACAAATACAGAAGGATGTGTACCTGTGTTTTATATAAGTCTGTTATCTATCTATCTATCTATCTATCTATCTATCTATCTATCTCAGTGTGTTATCTATCTGTGTATATGTGTGAAAAAAGATGCAGTGATTTAGTGAAATTGAAGTGAAACATGTTAGATTAATAAACATTTCTTATTAGTTCTTTATCCTATCACACACACACACACACACACACACACACACACACATATATATATATTTTAATACATTTTATGGTTATACATTCTTTTTATGCATTATATATATATATATATATATATATATATATATATATATCCTTGTGCAAATTAATTGAAAGAAACGCTTTAGTTTCCTTTATTTTACCATACGGTCGACTTTACGGATTAGACCCACTGGAGTGGCAGGGTGTAATCGATTTCTATTTTTCCTCAGATTAGGTCATTTGCAGTGTTGTGCAGTAGTATGAATCTATTTTCGGGGTGTATGATGAAATTTATTTGGCCTTGAAAATTATTGCTTCGTCTGTGATTGCATCAGATTTTCATCACACCCAGACACTATTGTTTCGACTGCCAATTAGTTATCCTACGGCCAGTGTCTGCGATGGACGTTACTCCAAGGAAGTGTACGAAAATTGTAATGCTGAACGAACACAATGGCAAGCTTTACCAGTGAGCAAATCAAAGTACTATTGACTGGCTCGGAAACTCATCTGATTTAAAACCAATCGAGAATCCGTGGTCAATCTGCAAGGAAACTTTGTGGAATGGACATACGAAGTGTTAACATGTGCACTGTGTCATGAAAAAGTGTAAATAATAACGGAATCATTCTATTTGTTTCAATTAATTTGCACAACGGTGGATATATATATATGTGTGCTCATTTTTGTCTATGTCCAGTTCCTTTTGTTCTGTTATTTTTCCTATAATCCTCTTTCGTGAATACGATTCTTCATCTGTCATTTCAAGCATTATGTTATTTACTGACGATTATTTCATCGTATGATATATACAATGTGTATTAGCTTAATGGTTATTGTCACAGAAAGTGGAATTGGCGAGACGGTTTCAAACTCCACGCCCACTTGTTGCTTTTTGGACAAATGGCATGACTCCTATCTCTTCTCGCTTAGACTACGACTTTTGGGTTAGCAGAGACGACTGAGAATGACCAACAGTACCACAAAACCAAGAAATAATTGAGCAAATGATGGACACCATGACCCAGAATACGCCTGATGTAGGCATTCGGACGCTAGTGAAGCCGCATTTGGGCTGTCCTTAAAGTAGAGTCCATTTTGCTTTTCTGCAGAATAACCTTTTTTTTTTTCGCTTGTTGAACATGCGTACAATTAGTTTTTATTTTTATCAACCTCATGTTCTTGAATCATAATTCGATTGAAAAGCAAAAATTGATCCTTTATTTCAATAGGTTTCACCCGTAAATAAAATTAAAAAAAAGTTTTATCGCATGTAAATATGCATATGTGACGATAAACTACGTCCGCGTCCTGGGTAAGACGATAAACCATATCCGACAGCAAGGTCTGGGATCAGGAGGTTTTGAGGAGGGTGGAACTACCTCTTAATTGCTGCTGTTCCCAGGTCCACTCTGACCCAGAGAAGTTGCACCTGTTATGGGTAAATAGTTAACCCCCAAACCCATCTGCATCCTGGGTAGGACGATAAATTATATCTGGCGTCCTGGGTAACACGATAAACTACATCCAACAGCAAGGTATCTGATCAAGAGTTTTTGAGGAGCGTGAAACCCCCTCTTAATTGCTGCTATTCCCAGGTCTACTCTGACCTGGGTGGTAGCACCTGTTAGGGTCTCAACTATGGGCAAATAGTTAACCCCCAAACTGGGGTCAAAACACTGTGAAAGTGTAAATATAGGTTTCAATACTAGCAATAGATTTTTGGAGAAAATAAGTATTACCAACAATAAATTTTTTGAAGGAAAAATATTACCAGTAATAGATTTTTGTACATAATTATTGCCAGCAATACATTTTTGAAGGAAACAAAAATATTACCAGCAACAAGAATCTTGTCAGCATCAATTGAGGTTGATAAGCCGTAAAACAAAACAAACCAAACCAAACCTGATGACTAGAGCTCGTAGAAGAATCAAACTGGAAATAGATACGGGTAGATACAAAAACAATACGGGTTTTTTAAAGACACGAGGAATGTTGCATTTATGTTAAGAATGGTATCAGAAAGAGCGATATATTTGCAGAAAGATTTGTACCTGTGTATCATAGGTTATGCAAAAACGTTTGATAAAGTACGTCACAGAGAACTCTTTGAACTTTGAGGCAAACTTTAGCATATTTGGGAAGGATATTAAAATAGTCCAGAATGTGTATTGGCAGCAAAACCAAATAGGTAATATGTATAGGAAATGAGTTCAGTAAATATATAAATGTGGAGCAATGGATAGCGGCTCGGATTGAGGAATCGGAGAGCCGAGTTCGAATTCCAGTCGAATCTACTACATTCAATTACGTGCTAATAACCTTGGGAATGGTATGAATCCAACTCTTCTGACTTGAAGAGGCACGGTAAAGTAATGGATTGCGGCTCGGATTGAGAAATGGGAGAGCCGAGTTCGAATTCCAGTCGAATCCATTACATTCACTTACGTGCTAATAAGGTATGAGTCCTCTTCTTCTCTCCCCAGCTATGGGTAAATAGCAGGACAGACCGAGTTCTATATGGATGGCAACTGGTCTACCGCAGAAAGAAATGGCAATCTACTGCGTGAAAAAATCTGCCTCGTCCGTCATGTATCACGCATGGTACATAACTGACTGAAATAAATAAAAATAGAAAGTGTTGTCTCATTGGATTTATTAAATCTGTGCAGTGCGGCGATTCTGAGAGAATTAGAAGTCCTGCCAGGATTCATTATTGGCAGAGAGAAGAGAATAAAGGAAAGCGAGAAGAAAGGACTAAACATCAATTGCAAGAAGACAGAATCTACGGTTTTTAGCAAAAGGAACAGTCCAACATTGGAGGTAGCCTGTATAACGAGCTCGTGTAAATATTTGACAGAACAGGGATGAGGAGAGAGATTAAATTTGCTAAGAGCTACAAAGAATTGCCATGACCTCCCACGACTTAAAGGGACAAGGCGTACCTGTCAAAACAGAAAGTGAAAATCCTTAGACGGATTCTCTAACATTATTAGTTCTTAATATCGCAGTGACTGCGTTACGGTTTGGTTTGTATTCAAAAGTCACTTTCTACCGACTTTTTTTCAACCGCATAAGTATTAAAATAGAAAGACAGTTTTGAAACAGATAATTTAGAAAAACGGCTTGGAAAATTTGACACTTACTGAAGTGCAGGCGGAAACAGCGATCAACCTATCAAAAGCGCTTATGTAAATGAATAGTGTTGAAGCACAATAATGGGTATGTCTCCATTCGGACGATCTGTGTATGTTCCCATTTACATTAAATACAGTAGTAAATGCTGTATCTTGGTCTGCAGTCGGAGGATTTGTCTCCAGCTGTGCTAGTCGAACTCTCTGCCCGAAGGAAGAGAGGAACCCAGACGAGGCTATGCTGAAAGGCAGAATTTCGTCTGGGGTGGTAGACAGCTACCCGATCCCGTTTTTTACGGGGTCTACGGGCTCGGATACTCCACGTTAAATTCGGCCTTGTGCCACATCTGACTGCGTGGGGCGGTTGGAAAATATCCTGCAGTTGGAGATTCGTCTCCAGCTGTGCTGGTCAAATTCTCCGCCTCTGAGCAAAGAGGATGTCCAGACGAGGCTATCTCGAAGGACAACGTCTCGTCTCGGGAAACAGATACCCGACCCCGTTTTACACGGGATCTCCGGTGAATTTTTGTCCAAGCCTACGGGTTCGGATACCCCACATTAAATTCTGCCTTGTGCCACATCTGACAGCGTGGGGGCGGTTAGTAGATATCCTGCAGTTACAGATTCGTCTCCAGCTGTGCTGGTAAAACTTTCTGCCTCCGGACAGAGAGGATACTCAGACGAGGTTATGTCGAAGGTCAGAGTCTCGTCGCGGGAAACAGCTACCCGACACCGTTTTTTTATTGGGGATCTATGGGAAATTTTGACTGTGCCTACGGGCTCGGATATCGCACATTAAATTCGGCCTTGTACCACATCTGACCACGTGAGGCAGTTGGTATATATCCTGTAGTTAGAGATTCATTATGGAATTCATTTGACTCACTTCAAGCAGTTGACTACTTCTACTACGCGCGGCTGGCGAATCTTATATGTGTTGTTCGTGTCCTAACTATTATCGTTCATTATCAACCTTCGTATGATTATTCTATTCAGTAACTTTCCCTAGGTTGCAAAAAATAGCAGAACAGGGATTACTTGAGATAGTAAGAGGATTGAAATCGGTTTGTGTTACAAAGAATAGGAAGTTGTGGAGGGCCATGAACTCTTGGTGAGTTGCAGTACATAAAAGAAAAAGATAAAAGATTCGGCGGTCAGGTTCTCCGAAACATTTTGAATTGCGACTTTTTTATTCAAACGAAATTTATTGCGTCCCCACACACCATCATCTCACGTTTAGGACGGTAGGAGTCTCTGTGGCTGTTTCGCTATGAAGTGAAATTAAAGATACCGATATTCAGAGAACTTAAAACGATTGCTTGCTTACTTATTTTAGCACACTATTTTTACTTATACTCATTGCTACGTGATGCAAACATTAGTCGGGACATTATTTAAAGGAAATATTTTCTAAGATTAATTTCATGTCTTGCAAGGAGGAAAAAAAAATTCACCCCTCGTTTGATTTTGCAAGATTATTTTTGTAAAAAAACGATGCAGTTAAGTAATTATAATTTAATCACGAAATAATGTCATTTTCTTGAATTAATTATAATTTTAGAATTTTTATATTTAGATTTCGGCATTAAATGACCCATAGAGATGTTAATGTGCCGCTAAACGAAAACAACTAAACAAAACTGTACAATCGCTGATTGGTCGAATAATTCTCCTAACTGACATTCAAAACCACTCTTAGCATCCGAATGTTGACTTCATCCAATTCTCTTTTGTTTTGAGGTAAGGGTCAATGCTGAGCAG